GGAAGAATTATTCACACGGTAATAGCCTGTGGGTGTTGTCTATTGGGTTTGAGGAAAATTACATCGGATCAGATAAGCTCGGGATCAAGTTAACTAAAATTTTCCACCGCAACTTGAACTACCCACAAACGTGGAAAATTCCGTAATTCAAGTTTGTGCATGAGGAGGTTTCGATGGGCTTGGGTCGATACCATTGCGTGGGATAAAGTGTTTTCACGGTCACTGAGATGTTTATACGCAGCGAAATGTAAATCTGTGTTTTCCTTACATTTTGTATCCAAATTACTTAAGTTCAGTCTCACTGACGTTGTCGTTGGCTACCAAAGAGTATTTTTTTGTTTAAATAAAGTTTATTATATTCAACAAATTGAAAAAACTCCCCGGCCGATAATGATATAGCTCATTTTTTCCTGGAGTGTACTAAATTCCAGAATGAAAGATGTAAATTGATCTTGAAGATCTCGCGGAGGCAGGACACCATTGAATCGCTGTTTAATTTTCTGATCATAAGGAGGTTTATCCAAAATCACAAGTGCCTAAAAAAATAGATTTTTTTAAACTGAGAGATGAAGGTATTCCCTTCACTTTGATACAAATTTGAATCCATCAACTCATGTTCATTATTTAGAAATGAAATAGACAAAATTCACAAAATGCATGCGCTAACATGTGCTTCTATGGTAAAACTCTCGAGAAAACAGGTAAAATGACAGCGAAATGTACAAAATTATTCTATGCGTCGAAATAAAATTATCTCGAGGCTACAGGAATTAGAAATACTGGCGTTTTGGGCTAAATGGACCATTTTGAAGTTGAAATGAAAAAAACGGTTTTTTGTAGAAAAAATCATTTTCCTACTAATTTCATCTGATACAGTTACGCTCTCCTAATTCGCTTCCCCCACAGCCATGCCCATATTACACCATCAGAAGTTTACTGTAATTGATTGAGGAGAGTTCCGAAAATTGTCGGGATTTTCCCGATTGAACGCGAAACATTTTCTGAACAGTCTGTATAATCGGATCCTTTCGAAAATTCTTCATCGATATGAATGTGAAATCGGATTTTTCCCGATTTTTTCACGCGAGGGGCACCTTTCGTCGGAATCATCGGGAAAAGTAAAATCTACTTCCGATTCTTTTCTCTGCCTGGAGACACTGTTTTCCCTGCTATGTTATCACACGGATTAACCCAGAGCATGAGCCGGATGAAAAAACTAGATGCCTCTGAAAATGAGACGTGCAGATGATGCATTGCTAATTACGAACATGGAAAATGCTCGTCGCGATCCGCATTGTCCTTGTTATCCATTTCTCTTAGATGTGCCCCCGGACTTCGTGGCGGTCGTCTAGAATGGACTATTATCCACCTCAGCACTGTCCTCTTCTCTGCATTTCCTGCAGTGTTATATGACCTTAACTTTTCCAATACTAGAGTGAGGAAGGGGCACGCAACGCGACGAAAAGAAGTTTCCAAAAGGAATTGTGGCCAAGTTTCGTAAAAACTTGTTCAATATAAAACTGTAGAGTTAGTCTCACAGAGAGTTGGCTAACTAATGAGGAAGTTTATGAAAGGGACGTAAATTGAATTCAAACAATTGATTCAATTAATTCCGTGAATGAATTGAATTAATTGAATTCAAACAATTAATTCAATAAATTCAAACAATTAATTCAATTAACTCAATGAATTAATTGAACGAATTAAATTCAAACAATGAATTCAATTCATTCAATTTAATTCGTTAACAGAGTGCAGAATTACAATTTTTGTTGATGACGATTCAGTCATCTGCGAAAAGATGCAAGGAGTCATCTTTTGAAATAAGACTAGATAGTCTGGGACCTTATTTATTGCTCATGAACAGTCTCAGATGTTGAATAGCAAAGGGCCTTTATTGGAAATTTATCTATCTCAGATATCCTCAAAGGGTTCTAGTCATCTGAGCAATTTTCTCATGCCCCTTGCAACGAGAAACTTGACGTTGTTATGTATAATAGGATTTTATCATGGGAATGTCGGAGTGTTTCGACCTTCAGAGTAGCAGAATATTGGCGGCCGAAAATAATCTCTTTTTCGATACATGAAAGTCGACCCAATACAACAATTACGTGACAATTTCGTACTTTGTTCGGTGATAAACCGAAAATTCACTCAACGTTTCAGATTTCTTCTCTTCCATTCCTATAAAAATTGCCGGAAAACGATTCCCCACTGCGGACTACGTGAATTGTTCCGTAATTTTTTGTGGCGGTTTAGTGCGGGTCGTGAAATAAGAACTCGTGGTTGTGGGATAAAGACGTTTGTATTTAGATTTAAAGAGATGTGTTTACATCGTGTTTCGGTATCGGACTGAATCGGACTGAACTCAACTCAGCTGACTGATTGAGCTATTCGCCAGGGTACGTGCGAGTTTAAATACCTTCTGTTATGGAAGGTTCGGGAATCGTCCAGAAATCGGGTGAGGGACAAGAACAGAATGATTCCCGTCTCGAATATGACGGTATAGAATATTCGAGACGCGTTAACTAAATTTCGAAATAATAATACGTTTGTGGCTCGCGCCACATTTTTACTGAATATTTCTCTCCGCACTGATAGACTGATTCATTCATTCCAAACGAGATTCATTANTCAACTGAGCTGACTGATTGAGCTATTCGCCAGGGTACGTGCGAGTTTAAATACCTTCTGTTATGGAAGGTTCGGGAATCGTCCAGAAATCGGGTGAGGGACAAGAACAGAATGATTCCCGTCTCGAATATGACGGTATAGAATATTCGAGACGCGTTAACTAAATTTCGAAATAATAATACGTTTGTGGCTCGCGCCACATTTTTACTGAATATTTCTCTCCGCACTGATAGACTGATTCATTCATTCCAAACGAGATTCATTAGGGGAGGGTGTGCCTGTACCGCGCACCTAAGGGGAAATGCGAGTTTTATATTTTATATTTCAACTAGAGTATAAAAAATGTATTTGTGAGACTTCTTTAACTGTTGAACTCGTTATTCTCGAAGTATAGACGCCTAATTCTCCTTAGAATCCACAAAATTGATTGAAAATAAAAGAGAGAGCCTATTGAGCGGTACTACCCGCTGTCGGGTAATACCGCTCGGCACGATTCCAATGCCGCTCATAGGGTTTTGCGCGTATCGCTCGCGCCGCAACCTAACCTGTACTCGAGTGCTGTCGAGCAACTACGTGGTCGATCCTATGAGCGGTATTACCGGCTCCGCTCGGCGTCAGCAAAATTGTTGATAATTATTGACATGAGTGGAGTTTTGAGTTCGAATTGGTCTCAAATTACGCGTGAAAGTACCACGAATCGAATAACCACAGTTTAATATGAGAATTCAGCGTTTGAAACTATCAAAAACTTTAATTACAAGTCCACAAATTTTGCACTGTAAACACCTCAAAACTTCGTTACGTGTTTCTTCATATTTAAAGTGGTAAATAAAGTGAAATTTTTCCGACAATCGCATCCTATCATCAAATTCTTCATGATCAGGAACAGAAAGAAATTTTCAAGTTGATGGTTGTGGAGAAAATCGGCCGAGCGGTATTACCCGCTGAGTGGTACAGGCACGCCCTCCCCTAACTATTAACGAATGATAGAGTTGAATACGACCAGATGGATATTCGTTAATAGTTAACGGATGGTTCACTTGAAAAGTGAAAATCGAGTCAAACAAGGTTTCTCAAATGTGCATTTGTTAACTCTTAACGAATGAACATTTGGTGAGACCGAATAGACCCTCGTCTCCAACCAAATCCATTCGTTAACAATAATCCTTTCTATCAGTGCATGTAGCTGGGCGGTACATGCTTACCCTAACAACTACCAAACCTGTTATCCTATGTGACCTCGATGCCGGCTAATATTCAACTCATGATGTTTTACTCAATAGACTCACAGTGCACCGGGATGTGGGATTTCAGGATCGACAATATGCCATCCCCATAATATGGTAATGAGATACTCCTGGCTGGGGACCAAGACCGAGAAAGCTCGTTAATCTCACTGCGTCAACAGTCATGATACTCACTAATGTGCAATTTCCGTTAAGTGTAGGGATCCGTAAGAGCTCTAAATTGTACATGCCCTCGTGCGTTGTGCATTTTGTAGGAAATGGATATAAATGCAACAAACATCGATTCGACAAGTCATGTTCATCGATCCAAATAGCAAACTACGGTGTTGCGCATCAGTAATTCTAATTCAATACCAATGCACACGAAACAATATTATTGATTTCACTCTGGATTAATGTTCGCTTAGAATAATTTCCATTGGAATTATTAAGTTTGAATTTTGAGGGAAACAATATATTGGTTGAGGGCTGCAATTTGTATGAACGAGCTATTATGAACTCATGATAACGATAACAAAGAACCATGAACAGCAACAGGTGTATCAACGCAATCTCGGGATTGAAATTGTGGAAGCTCTAAGCTTCGTTAATGAGGTACATTCACAAAAACAGCTAATGAACATTTAAGTTAATTTCATTGGGGCACAATTTGATTGCGCCTAGAAAATAATCTTGGTCTATTCTATAAACTCTGAAGAAGATTTTCCCCCAGAAAAAAAATGTCTGAACTACTTGGATATTCTTCAATCAAAATCAACTCCATTTTTACTTTAATTTTGAAGAAGATTCAATTTTTAAAAATAATAAAACACCATAAAATAATCTATAATTAAGAAACTGATTATTCACTTTTTTTCTACGAAAAAATGACTTTGCATTTATGGCAATTTCATGATTAGTTCCAGAGACTCCTGTATCCAAAAATCTATTTAAAAAAATAAATTCTAAAAAATTTGTACTTGTAACTATGACTTCAATAATCAACAAAATTTTCTCTCGTAACTAGAAATTTTTCTCTCCATACATGCAATATTTATCTTCATGCTTCGTGATATGAATATTTCCCAGGAATGCTTTCACGATACACAGCATGCGTCAGACAGAGTTTATGCATCCTACCTTTCGAGGTTTTTATCGATTCTCTTGATGAAATGAACCTCCGGCGGTTTTCGGTTTTGTTTTTCTTTGATGTTCGAAGATTAAGGGTTGGCTTGTTGGCACGATATTTCAATGTATCATATTGTGGTCGTGTATATCGTTGGTGATAAAAATCGTTGATATAAAGTCGTTAATCAGCTTGATTTAGGTCTATATATTTTATAAAATAGTTTCATTACTCGCTACCATAATTGACTAATTTTGCGTATATCCTGTATATCCTCAGCACGAAATAATTTTTCCTTCTGTTTGTGGCCCCTCCGGGTTACTGCACCATGATCAGGTCCATTAGGTGTGTCTATTGATTAAATATAAGTTCAGTGTAGATATAACTCTATAATTCTCCAAAGTTTCTTGGTCGAAATGTCATTGTCAATTTTCTACGAATGATATAAATCCCGAGAGATCCTTTTGTTATATAAAATAAGGGTCCTTTTGCATATCTTGTTATGAGTTTCCTCCGGTACCTTCAGTTATCGATATTCCATCATTGTTAACGTCAAGTATGAAATATCAATGCTATACGGCATCTGATGCCCTACAACGAAAAGGAAAAATACCTTGAAATTCACATCACTGAGTTCCGCCAGAGTCGAGAAAATCCATCTCTCGCATATTCATATTTTTCAATATTCACACAAGAGAAAATTTATAAGTACCAGAAAATACTCTCCCTGTCGCGGATAAAGCGAAAATTGCTCGGGTGATATATGATCCCGGTAATTATCAAGCTCGATGTATGGAGGTTAAGCCACTGCTACTGGTGCTGTGGGTCAATCCATGTGAGTGTAATGCAACACACGAGCTACATAACACTGAAATGTGGGGTATCAAGTTTTGGCATGAAGCGCTTTTCAATCATTAATCGTTGAGTTTCGCGTTCGACTAATGAAAGCGAAATCAATCTGTCGGGTTTTACGAATGAAGCGGTTCTAGTTGCTGCACGGAGGGAATTTTAAATAGGAAGAATTACCATGGCTACTGGAGAGAATGCTATGGCAACATAGTAAAAGGCTTTTTAACTGACCCTACATTGTAATTCTTACTATGTTCCACGTTAATGCTTACCATGCGAATGAAAAATGATGCTGTGAACATAGGAAGTATCTGTGGAATAACCTATTCAAATTCGTGATTGCTTCTTAATGCATTCATGAATTCAGAACTCTAAAGGCCTAAACTTTTTAACAAAATTAGACAAATTAAACTCTTTGTTCGAAATGTTTAGTCGGAACTGTTGAAGGATCCGATAAGACTTCAAGTGCATTAGGATCTTATGAAAGAAGCTCACTTTTCCTGATGTCACTAACTCCGCCATTTTGTCGTCATCTTTATACTAAAAAAAGTTCCTTTCACAGCTATAAAGGTTTAATAGTAGATAAAAATCACTAAAATGTGTAGTTTCAGGGTTGTACATGAACGGAGGAGATGAAAATTGTTTCTATCCCTTTTAAACTGAAATTCTCATTGGGTCGTAATAGAAAAATAATCCAACCAGAGATGAAGGCCACATTTGAATCACAATTTCAATTTTAGATTGTCAGGTCAACTAAAATGATGTGTTCCAATGGAAAGAGGAACTGTTGACGGATCTGACAGGACTTCGAGTGCATTAGGATCTTATGAAAGGAGTTCACTTATCCCGATCTCACTAACTCCGCCATTTTGTCGTCATCTTTATACTAAAAAAAGTTCCTTTCACAGCTATAAAGGTTTAATAGTAGATAAAAATCACTCAGTATTAATCCCGGTCGTAGGAATTAGTAATTCATGACGGATGAGATGGAACTAACACTAAAATGTGTAGTTTCAGGGTTGTACACGAACGGAAGAGATGAAAATTGTTTCTATCCCTTTTAAACTGAAATTCTCATTGGGTCGTAATAGAAGAATAATCCAACCGGAGATGAAGGCCACATTTGAATCACAATTTCAATTTTAGAGTGTCAGGTCAGCTGAAATGATGTATTCCAATGGAAAGAGGAACTGTTGAAGGATCTGCCTTGAAGACTTTACTGAAGGACTTCGAGTGCATTGGGATCTTATGAAAGAAGCTCACTTTTCCTGATGTCGCTAACTCCAGCATTTTGTCGTCATCTTCACACTAAAAAAAAGTTCCTTTCACACCTTAAAAGTTTAATAGTGGATAAAATTCACAAGGTATTAATCCCAGTCATGAAAAATGAGTCATCCAAGGCAGATGAAGTGGCACTAACGCGCAGTAGAATTCTGTTCATACGAGAGCATTTCGGATACCCTGAGATTTGCAACAATAACCTTGAAAGCCGATGGCACTTAGGTTACCATCTAGCTTGGTTTATTGTTCTTATACAATTCAATTATTTCGCTCCCTCAAAGCTCACGCCAACAATGGAGACACCGTATCCGCGTTTCATTGTCTCTAGACACAATTTGTGTAAATGTTAGTTAATTAGGAAGCTCGCGCTCTAAATGTTGATAATGGAATGCGAGTGGAGCTTGGAAATTCGAGTTAATAAACTTGAAATGCATTTATTCACATTTCGAATTGCATTTGTCGAATGCTTTGCAATGATTCACCAGAGAATCTTTGCCGTTTTATTCTGTTTATGATTTATTTGAATCAAGTCAATAAGTTTATTTAAATAGTACGGAATAAAGCTAAAGGATTCCAGTAAAATGTTCAGGGTTCTGTAACTCGAAACCAGAAACTTTTTTTTCTGAGCTTCTTGACGACCACTCGTTATCAGAGGGTTTCGATCGATCCACTGACTGATGAGTAGAGAAGAAAATTACCAAGGTGCTCAGTGAGTTATATGGCCACGTCAAAAAGTCAATACTTGACCCGAATATAACACGAAAAATAGAATCGGGAAAGTTGTCGAAAATAACGAGTACTATTATTTCAGATATCTGTGAGAAATCTCATTATTGGAGAGGTCAAAATTAGTTACCAGGTGATTTCAAGATCCTAGAAATTGACAAGAGAATATGTTCGTATATCAAGGATATCACCTTTGTCAAAAGTAATTCTTTCGCTCAGTGCGCGAGTGTGAAATCGTAAATTACGTTTATGTAATCGTAATTTACAGAGGGTAACCCCAGTGGAAATTCAAATCAAGATAGAATAAGAGACTGACCAGTAAAAACTAATTTTGATCAGTTTTGGATCAGAAATGTAACGCTTGTTTGGATCCATGCCTGGTTAAAATTCTAGGATCCGATCATTCTGTACAGTACTGGATCCGATACGGACCTAGTCGAGATTTAACTGATCAGAATAGGATCAAAATTCACTTCGCCGCATTGGATTCAGATACTCCATTCAGGATCTCATCAGATCGTGATCCGAAAGTCTAATCAATAAATTCTGTCCAGTATTGGACCTAAAACTGATCTAGATCCAAGCTAACTGAGTGAAATTTCTACTCGGGTAAAATACACTTCAAAAAGTGTGAGACGACTTCTCACACGTAATTGATGTTTAGATGTTTCTGTGGGGAGGTTGGGACAATTTCCAGACGCAGAATCGTGAAAAGCAGTGGAGAAAATTAGTTTTGTGATATTATGCCGATATTTCTCTCAGCGCACTATACTACATCACAAATCGGGCTTCCGAATCCCCGACAAATTCAAGCAGTTAGTGAAGGAAGAATAAGTTCTCTCTGTAGACGAGGAACAAGAACAAGGGCGATATCGCACAACAGGGCAAACGAAGCAGACGACCCTCGACTTCGACACTATTTCTTCTTTCACTTGGATTGACTGCACTTGTCGGGTTATTGACGCTTCGATACCCACACCATCGACATCCTCTCACCTACCAAGGGACATTCATTTTTGTGAGTCTTCTCAGGTAAATGAATAAACTTCAGAGTTTTTTTCGGATCGAAGGTTATGGAGGGAAAATCAAACGAAAGATGATGCTTTTAGGGACAAAAAGGGATTTCGCTGTTGAATTTTTTTCGCCGTCGAGAAATTCCGTCCTACGTCGTGTGACAGGTGGATTTCGCCTAAATTTCTCTAATTTCTCTTTTCACACAGAAAAAAAAAGTTTTGATTTTCAAGGATATGTCAGCAATTTTCAATGACATTATCACTGAAAGAATTTTCACAGAGATTTTTAAGGGAGAATTTTTCAATTAGCCTCTTTCTCAATAAACGCCAGAAAATCCGATAGGGGCGCTAGTGATGGCTAGGACAAATAGTTGCGCTCAAGTGGCAAGGGAGGTAACCGAATTTAAACGGGCAATAAGGCTATATCGTAAATAGTAGATGCTCCAAAATGGAAAAAGTAATTTTGACGGAAGATGATGTCCCAGGTGCAAGATTACCTCATGCAAAAGTAAGCCAAAACCTCGTCTCGGACTTGAAACGGTGGCTGGTATGTCGAAACATCAACTCCAATGGTTTAAAAATCGAGTTGATCACAAGGTTAGAATTTTTCAGGAACAATTAATCACTTCGTTGATCACAAAGAGTTCCGGAATTTGCCTTATTTTGCGAAAAATACGAACCTTTCATCTATATTCTCACGTGTTTTGTTGTGACCCTTCTAACCTTCTTGTTTTGATTTGTGATATGTTGAAACTTTGACCAGGTGGCGTGACGATTTGTCCCAACCGACCATGTGGCCCTCGCGTGGCGAATTCTTCAAGTTTAATTGAGAAAGAGGCTAATTTTGTATCATCACTACACGCAGAGAAAAGTTGGTTAAAAATTATTTAGAAAGTCCGGGCAAATTTTATGATTTGTCAAGCTAAAAAACTTGACTCCTTCGTTTGTTTGCACTGAACCTATCGGGAAACAAGTAGGGGACAGGGAGCATATGACAGCACGTCATGTGACAGTAGGCATGTCAGAGAGTGATGTCTTATTTTTTTTTCGCCATCAATAAATTGATGGCGGGCTTCTGAACGATCTGAAATATTACAAAAGTTTATAGCTTCACAACACTAACTAACAGCAAAAATTTCAGATGATAACTGCCATCTCTGTGGGTGCTATCAAAATTCCAATGTTTCGAATACTTTCT